TATTTTGGGCATACATAAAGTACAGGTAGTCCTCAACTTATGATCACAATGGAGCCCAAAATTTCTGTTGCTAAGCAAGACAGTTGTTCAGTTGCCCCAATTTACAAGCTTTCTTGCCACAGTTGTTAAGTGAATCACTGCAGTTATTAAGTTAGAAATACGGTTGTTAAATTAATCGGGCTTCCCCATTGACTTTGCTTATCAGAAGGTCATGTAAGGTGATCACATGACACCGCAACAACCGTAAGTGTGAAAAGCGGGCATAACTTTTTTTTCAGTGCCACTGTAACTTTGAATGGTTGCTAAACAAACTGTTGTAAGTTGAGAACTATCTTTAGTACATTTGCTTGGACGTTCACCTACAGTAAGGGCACTGAGGGTCACACATGTTCTGCCCCATTGCCCTCCTCCCAAATATTCTGAATTGACACCACATAATTGTATTTTGAAAGTCTTACTGAGACCACAGTTCAATGTTTTTTTCTCTAGCATCTTGCTTATGCTTCCTTAGTTATAGAGCAATAAGTAATCAGATTCTGAAAATTCACTGCTACCAGCCCTTAATCAAACAAACATGAATCTAAGCTGCATTTACAAATGTTGAGATTCACTTTTACATAGAGAGTTTTAGTATCAAGGTTCAAGAAGCACAGGGCTGTGATTAAGAAATTGGTTACGCAACAAGCAATTTACTCTATATGATAAAGCTTGACTTCAGCCAATGGATGTTTGTATATTATGTTTTCAGGATAGCCTGGTTGAGCAATCTGATTCTTAAGTAGCTAGAATGGCACAATCCTCCAATGGGATTAAAATTATACTTATGGGAAAAAGGAAGGCAGAACTAACTTGTGACAGTAAGTACCGATTAGTAAGAGCCCACAAATGGAATGAATCATATGCACGCATCCAAAAAAGGATTGAAAGGACTATGTCCACACTGAGGGCTTTGAAGTTTGCTTTCCCATAACAAACAGAGAGTTATCTATGGTCAGCCTCTTTTTTTTTCATTCACAGTTCCTGAAGAGAAGGGGACTGTTGATGATGAAGACCCTGTACACAAAGAGGATTATCTAACAAAACACAGTGAATATTCCCTCTTATTTTGAATGTAAGCAGTAAACAGCTAAAAAATGTCAAAAATAAGGCGGTGGATTTTTTTATTATCACACCCTCCATAAGCACTTAATAATTTGCTAAAAGCATTTTCACATACTCTTCCATCTAGCAAAGTGGACAAAAATGACAAATAACTTTATGGCCCTGGAATTTCAGCTATGGTAACTGGCGTGCCTGAAATTCCAGGAAAGCTTACGTTTCAACAAGTGTATCTTTCCATTTACTTACTGAGCCTCACTGCGTAGAGTAGATGCATAATTCTACGCTGTAGCCAAAAAGTTGTTTCCTATTGCATTCCATTTATAACCTTTGGCAGTGTATCATACCTATGTGGTTAGCCATGCCTATTGCTGCTACTAAACAGCCCTCTTCTCACTCCATACAGCTCTAAGGATTTCACATTGTCCAAGTCCTTAAAAAAAAAAAAAAGCACAGAGAAAAATGAAGGAAACTTTTTCACGGTTTCTGTGTTTGTACTTTATGTCCGTATTTCAGGTTCTGAATCCCTATTGGAAGGCATCTGAAGTCTCATAGCCAGCTCTGAAGAAAAGATAAATCATCTCTGGAAATGGCTTTGTTTTCAAACAAAGTTCACCAACTCCCATTGGATTTAAATACACAAAGTATCTTACTGTAGTTGATTAAAATCTATACAGTTCTGTGCTATCCAAAAGTGCCCAATTTACCCAAAGCCTTTGGAAATTCAGAAGCAAGCCATAATTGGCTGCAAACTTCCCAGGGATCTTTGCAAACAGCTGGTGCTCAAGAATAAAGTGCTTCTAAGCACGGAGGCTTCCTTAAGTAGTTATCATAAACGGAATATAACCTATACTTTAAAAAAGTTTAGCAGTGTAAGTCTACTCTTCTTCCCCAAATATCGTTAAGGAAAATCTATCACCATGTGAAAGTGTACAGGCAGACTCCTTCAACTCACTTTCTCCACAATGCTCTCCAATTGATCTTGTTAATTGGGAATGGCAGGATTTCCTACCCAAACATACCAAAGGCTCCAGGGTAGGGATGGCTTGGGGTTCAGGACCACAGTACATCTAAGGCTTCATCAGCACATCTTCCCACCCTAATTTATCATTGGGTGAAGATTGAATGCCCTAAACATCTGAAATTCATTTCTTGCTCACTTTAAGCCCAATTTCTATTCTATCTGTGTAATGTGTAAAAACATGCATTTCAGCATCAGAGAAGTTTGAATCTGCATCCGTTGTTCAGATAAATGGAAGTGTCTTCTATTAATGCAAAGCGATTGTCTAATTCCTTTCTGAAAAAATAGTCTCTTATAAGAGGCCCCCTGCTTTGTTTCACCTGGTGCTGATGTGTCTGGAGTTTTGTTTTTGGGGTCACCATAAAGTGTGAACTGGGGTCCAGGCTGATATTTCACAGCCCGGAAATCCTTTTTTCTTTTTCTTTTCATCGAACGTAAAATCCAGCAGATCACACAAAGATGAAGCAAGGGTTTCTATTCGGGATCCTTAATGGCCGAAAGCAAAGGCGTCAGGGCACAAGGGAGTTAAACGAAATAAGGGGCAGAAGGGACTTCCTTGCGCCTCCACTCTGGGCCAGCAGAGGGCCTCCTTTCCCACCGAAAACAAAAGTCGCATCACAAAACTCTGGCTACGGATCCGGCGCGTACGGTCTTGGCCGGCGGCGGGATTCGTACGTTGGGGGCTCGCAGCCTCTGCTGGGCCGCCCCAAACAGCACCAGGGACCGTCGCGCCCCGAAGCCTCCCGCTTGCGGCAACTCCCAGTCAAGAGCAGGAAAGCCCAGCCAGGTAGTCGCCAGCCACCCACGAACCCGCTTCCCCGAAAGCTCTTCCCACGCTGCGCTTTTCTCCTCGCCAGGGAGCATTCCTCGCAAAGGTGCCCCCCTCCCTTTCCTTTGCCCGGCACCGAGGTTTCAGGGGAGCCCGCCTCTGGGCGCCGGGAGAGGTGGGGGGGGGAAGCGCGGGAAGGAAGCGAGAGCTCTCTGGCTGAGAAAGTTGCAGAGGACGAGCGGAGCCAGAGGGGGAGAGCACAACAGGCTGGGCAAAGGCGGCCAAGTGCAGGGGCGCCCGCCAAGGCACGAGCCGAGCAGGTGCCTGGTGCCCAGACACGAGTGTCCGGCGGGTTAGGAAAAAAAAGAAAAGGCGGCGATCGAGTCGCCCACCCAGCCCGCTGTCCGTCTCCGGGGAGCGGGCTGGGGGCTTCCTTTTCTGTCCGCTCGAGTGCCCTTACCTGGAAGTAGAGCTCCCTAAACCCAACGAGCCTTCCTTGCGAGGAAGGCTTCCTCCGGGCCGGGGCCCGATCCAGCTGCCGGGAGGAAATCGCCCCGCCGCGCCTGGGCAGCCTGTGCCAACCCCCGTGCTGGGGCTCGCCTGCAACCGACCGAGAAGTTCTTTCTTCCCGGCTGGGCGGCGGTAGGCCGACCTGCCTTTCTCCTCCTTCCCGCCCCCCCCCCCGCTCCTGGGGCCTCTCTGGCTGGGGCAGCGCGCCGTCCCAGCCCTCCCAAGGCTGTTGGGCTGGCTTCCCCCGGGAGGCTCCGGGCAGGGCTGCTTGTTGGAGTCAACTTCTCCGCGGCCGCGTCTCGCCTCTCGTTCGCCCCTTACCTTGCCGTCCACACAAAGCCTGCTGGGGTCCCCTCCGGAGAGTCACATCGTCTCCCAGCCGTCCAGTCCCCTCCCGCCGCCTCCTGCAGCTCCAGGAACACCGGAGGAGGCAAGCGGCTCAAATGTCTCATCAAAGCTTTATGAAGGGTGGGAAGGCAACAGAGTTGTTGGGAGCCTCTGATCTCTTTCTCTCCCTTCCTTTCTCTCTGCCCCCCCCACCCCCGCCGGCTGTCGTAGGAGCCTGGCTGTGCCCCCACACCACCGCCCCCTCCCTCCCTCCCTCCCTCCCTCTGTGTGTTTGGCTTCACTCAGGAATTATTTAGATCTCCATTTGGGTTACTATTGGTCAAGCGGCTTCCAAACGGGCACCAGCACCCGGTCGCCCGGTTTAAAGGAACCGCACGCTGCCTGCTCCGTCCGCCCCCCCCCCCGTCCCCTCCCCAGTCCGCCGCAACTGCACGGAAAACTCCGGCGTTTGCAGCAACCCCTTTCGCTTCTTGGAAACTTGGTTTTTCGCTTAGCTCTCTCTCTCTCTAGATCGGCCCAACCTCTCCCAAGGGAGGCCTCCCAAGACGCCGGCAAACAGCTTGGACTGTGTCCAGATCCACTTTCCTCCATCCTCGGTGCGCCTTAACCGACGGTCAGGAAGCAGGAAATTAAATTGGCCGCGGGGACCCGGGTGGGTGGGTAAGCAGCAAGACACCCGCACTAAGTTCTGTTTGCGTTCTCGCCCCCCCCCCTTCCCCCCAGATTTCAGCATGGTAAGAAGGCAGCGAGAGTTAGTGCAGGTCCTGCCGAGCTGACAAACGCGTCGTTTTCGCGGAACAGGTTGGGTGCCGGCGTATAAATCGGAGCAGGGAAAAAACAAGGAAGCCCGAAAGAAAGTTTTTGTTTTGTTTTGTTTTGTTTTTGCGCGCTCCTGTCTTCCTAAGTTGCGGACTCTGGATCCGGAACGGGGGGGAAGGGGGGGGAGAGAGAAGACTTGGTGGCGACTTGAACCGCTACCAATCTGTTAAAACCGGAGCAGATTAGTTTTCTACTTGTTAGTACGTTAAACAAACCAGATCCATTTAAATATAGTTCCCTGACTGACCTCTTCATAGTCTACCTATTAAGAATGCAATCAAGATAATAACAAGCATGGTTTATTGATGAAGGATCCGGATAACGTTACGAGCCACTTTCGAAGAGAACACGCAGCGGGCAAACGTGCCCAGTCCCGCCACTCGGCGGATTTTCTCGCAGACAACAAAACAGTCGGAGAATCAACCCCAAACTCACCTTGCGCTCGCTCGCTCGCTCGCTCGCCCTTTTCTCTCTCTCTCTCTTTCTCTCTCTCTCTTTTAGGCGCCTAGCCGCGAAAGACGGCGCTGAGAGCTGGCATGGGAGATGCCTGGATGGCAACCTCCGGCTCTGACGGTGGAGTTGGTCGGAAAAGAAAAATAGCATTTAAAACACCGAAGGGCGGCTTTAAAATCAAAACTCCCCACCTTCTTGCCCAAACCTCTTTCGCGAGGCGTCCTCATCCCTTTTCCTCTCCGCCCCCCCCCCCGTTCCGTTTCTGCCGCAAATGCCGATTAAATTATTGATAGTGGAAACTGCGCGGCGGTGGTGGAAGTCAATAGTGGCATCCCCCGATTGAGTAGCTCCATTTGATCACACGCTCGAGGTGGGAGAGGTTTCAGGCTCGCTCGCTAGAGTGAGCTACGCTTAGATCAACCCCTCTCCAGCCGTGAATGGAGGCTGTATGGGAATCCACACACGAGTGCTCGGCTTTGACGTGGATGTCAGATGATTCCCCCGCCTGCCTATAAACGAGACACCTCTGCGTACTCACGAGCAATCAGATTTCCCCCCCCCCGCCACTGATCTCTTCCTCGCGTAGCAAAAAAACCGAGGCGGCGGCAGCAGCAGCAGTAGCAGCAGCGTGGGTGTCCGCCCTTGCACGTGTTTTTCTACCGCGGTTCCCGCTTCGCTTGTTTGGGCTTCCCCCAAAACGCCGGGATTGAAGAGGGTTTCCCTTTCTCGCAGAAGTTTTCATTTTTCAAAGAACTTCCAGGCCTGAATTTGATTTGAGAGGCTTTTGCTTGATTTTTTAAAAAAAAGTTGCTAAAAGATTTATTTTAGACTGTGAAAACTTTAAATTTGGATGGTGTGTGGGGGGGGGGGAATCGGATCATCGGCTTCAATTCCCAGAATTTCCCAACCTGCATGCTGGCTAGAGAATTCTGGGGGTTGGTCCACACATTTTTTTCAAGCTGTCAAGATTGGGAAACGCTGCCTTGGACAGAGCTTCCAGCCCCTTTTGCCTGTTGTACTGAAAGATGTTAATTAGTTCGGGCTAAGAAGGTGCTGGATATAGGCTCTTCCTTAACTCCTTTAAGATCCTTTGGTCCAGCAATTCCTCAAACCTTCCTAGAAATGAGGACAAAAGGGTGTCTTAGATTTAAGGAGAATGAAAGACAACTATCAGCGCCTGACAGGTTTCTCCCCTTCACTTCCTCACACTTTTTGTGGCAATGTCTGGGAAAATGAAAAGGTGGTTGGAGGCTGAGTAGCAGATTCACAGCTGAAATCACAGGGTATCTGGAACAACAAGAGAAGGCTCCCCTAGAAAATAGAATGGGACCTGGATTGATTTATGTGGGAAGGTCTGAACAAGCAAGCACCACATGACTTGACTTTTCTTAATTCTTTTCCACCATAAGGAAAGTCAGGAACTATTGGCCAGCTCATTAGTACATGGCTAATATTTGCACGGCATGTTGAATTACAAGCTAGCTAGTTTATTAGCTTAGCATACCCAAGTGCAGGGGTTTGTTCCTACAGAGGTTTGTTCCTAAGCTAATGAGTTCTGCAGAAACAGAAAATGAGATGAGGGAGCAAACAAAATCGATCAGCATTGTGCCAAACCGATAATACTGGATTAGCTAGTATGTTAATGATGAGTATGTCATTACCAACTATTGACTGAACAGATTGACTTCAAGCTTAGACATCTTGATAGGAGTTAAAGAGAGTCAACCATCAGACATTGCAGCTGATCCTTCCTGATGCTCGAAGCTCCCTGGCTAAATAAAAAATGAAAGTCTGCTACGCACTTATATCAAAATCTCCCTCTGTGTGTGTGTATGTGTATAGATTGACACAAGGAGTCATATGACTTTTCCTTTGAGATGAAATGGTATATTAAAATATCATCTATTTGCTTTCCGTGTGTATGACTGTAGTCCATCCAGCTTAATTCACATCCTTCTCCACCTTGACTGCTTCTAGATTGATGGAGCTATATTTTTCTTCCAGGCCAGCCAAGAATCTGGACAGAGAATTCTAGAGTCTTTATACCAGAATTCTTCTTTCAGTACTCATTTTAATTGGAAAGCAGAGGGAACAGATATGGGGTTATTTGATACATGTTAAATGTATTATACTTTGAGTGATAATCTTCTCTTGCACAGTCCATCACTGTAAATGTTCCCTTTTTTAGTTTTTGTCTACTTGCAGTAATTTTAAAGGGAGATTTCAAGAAAAAGCTACTATGAATTGAAATTAACCCCCCACCCACCATTAACTTTTTATGTACATAGAGAATGCTATCTGGAATTATTATTTTTTTTAGAAAAAAGAAAAGACAGAATGATAAACTTTTTCTCACTAGCTTTCTAACCATTTGTTTGGTTAATGTGATTTGATCCCAGCCTGATTTTCTGAGAAGAAAAGGTCAAGGAAAAAAAAAAAAGGCTGTATTTCCATTTCTTCTTATTGTCAGGAAATCTAAATTAATCTTGATTATACAAATGGGAATGATGTCAATGAACTTGGATTTTTTGCAAGAATATTTTATGCTATTAATATTTTTAATTGGCTGAGGTCAATTCTAATATTATTTGCCACATTTTACATGTAATTGCACATGTATATGTTTCCTAGTTACATGCATTCAGCTAATGTTTTTCCTGTCATCCCCCCATCCCCAATAAAAGCTATAGGAAATTACTAATTCAGTCAAGTGCAAAAACAAATAGCACATTTTTTAAAAAACAAAAATCTATTCTGCCTTTTTAAATGACAATTGGCTAATAGTGAAAATATAGTGCATATGTTCTGGGTGCAATCCACACTTTTGAAAATATGCAATATAATTTTATAATAGAGTAAACCAATCCTCTCATTTACTGTTGGGTTGTGTACAGCCAAATCAGTTCACTTGCCATTACAATTCAGTAAAACAATACAGCTGGAAAAGTATAGAAGTGTGATGCCCATTGGGTTTAATGTGAATAGAAGAACAAATAACTTTGGTTTGTATTAGGCTACCATTTGGAATCTAATGTCAAAGTCAATTCCTTTGATTCTGGGATAATAAATTCTTTGAAACTTGTGTAAACCATGGTTTCTGAGTAGTGTGATTTTGTGAACTCAGTCACAGGGATTTTTTTCCATGAACCATAATTAAAAGAAAGCATTGTATGGTCCTAAATCTTGGGGAAAGGAATTTAAGCAATAGTTGTGTTTTAACTCACTCCTCTGTGCTGTTTGAAATCCATATCTGCCTTGTTTTCAAGCTGTTATTTGTCCTACAGAAAGAAGATACTGATTAATTCAGCTTCTACCCTGTTTTTCATTAAGATAAATTCCATGAGTTATAATAAGTCTTATTTTCTGAGGAATACAACAGAAACTGCCTCCAGTTTGAATAACTGAGCTTATTCCTAGTAAGAACAAAGTGGAAAAGGTCACAGAACAAGGAATAATACAAGAATAATTAGATTCAGTAGAGATGTAATTAAACTCTAATCAGTCAACCAAAATGGAAAAAATATGAGTGAAGATATTTCAAAAATTGTCATTAGATCTTAATAATGGGCTACTTGGATCAAGTCAAGACTTAACTTACTCCAGCATCTTTCTTACAGATGTTTTAAGGGTAAACACAAGCAGGAGATGATAATAACATTCATTTCTATATAATTTCTCCTGAATAGTTTGGTTGCCTTTTTGTATGCTTTTTCCAGCTCTAATTGTATTCTTTTTCAAATGAGGCAAACAGAAGTGTACACAATATTCATTTATGAATGTCCCATAGGTTTATGTGCGAACGTAACAAATGTTGGTTATTTTATTTTCCGACTTTCAAAGTCTCTCAAGCTTTTGACAACTGTAGGTAAATCTCAACATGATAATGCTTCTTCAAACTTTCTCTACCCTAAACTTTCAAAAAAACCATATTTACTCTTATTAACAAACGTTTGAATGGGGAAAAACTATACATTTATACAGGATTATATATGAGTTTGTTATATTCATCAGTTCTTAATTATAATACCTTTGACTCATGACAAGAATTTTATCTCATTTAGAATCAGAGGTGTCCACAAGGGGGTGAGAAATGGCAAAATTTAATATCACATATATTATAATACAAGCTCCACCCTTTTTGTACATACTACATGACATTGCATGCACTTATAAAAAGGAGGAAAGCTTCTGTCACAATCCTGTCCCATTTATGTTGGAGGCACTGTTTAAGCTGCTTCTGGGCTGAAAGGATTAGCTGATGACATTGTTGTCCAGGGGATTCCCACAGGGACTCCTTTCATGTCCCCATCAAGGAGCTGGAGTGAATGACAGGAGCTCACCCTGCTCTGCAGCAGCACTCAGGTCTCAAACGCAAGCTTCTAACCTCCAACCCAGTGTCCTAACAATGTGAGCTACTGCATTCTCATCTGTCACAATGGCATCATCCCTCTCTAGATAATGTGTAATGACTTTCATTTTAGAGTCACTCACTTCCACCTCAAAACATGAAACTGGAGCTCTACACATTGTCAAGTCCTGCAAGGTAGGCAATTCAGGATAGAAAAACCTCTTGGATTTCTGGAATTTTATTGCCAGTGGGATTCTAAAGGATGCTAAACCAATTCTCCAGGTCAGTTTATATCTAGAGTAATTAAACAGAGTTACTCTAAGCCTCTTTCTGCTGCTTCTCCTCTGCCCTGGGCTGGAGTGTTTTTGCCTCTTTGTTCCCAGCTTCTGCTAGACTTTCTATCATATTTGCTTACTTCAGGATAAATCCTACTGAACTGGACTTTACCTTTCAGCAAATATTAACAGGATTACCTGCAAAGACTTTCACATCAACCAAAATTATGATTCATACTTTCCTCATGGAATTAATGTGCCACTGGTTTACAAAGTGGATAAAAACAAAACATATAGGCAATTCTCATTTAGCAATGATATTTCAAACCAGCAACTTGGTTGTTAAGCAAAGCGGTCACAAATGAAACTGAAACTGTGCTTATGAGCTTTCTTCAGTTTTCCTTTGCTTTACAGGCCTATGAAGATTGTAAATGGATTGGTTGTAAAGTCACTTTTTCATAATAGCGAACAGTCGGTAAACAAAGTAGTCACTAAATGAAAACTATCTCTATAATTTTTGATATCCTATACCAGTGATGGCGAACCTTTTAGAGACCAAGTTTCCTCCATGGCCATCCACTGCCTCCACGGCCCACCGCAGATCGCCCAGGTGGCCCAGCAGGGCCACACCCTCCGCCTGTACCCCACAGCATCATTGCGATGGGGCACGAGGGTGGAGTCTTGTCCCCACTGCCCGACTGCCATGTCCTTGGCTGCACTGCTCTACACAGGCCGCGCCCAGGGCGACTCTCCTTCAGGGGGCTGCTGCTAAGGTCGCCATGGGGGGAGATGGGGCTGGGGTGATGGCGCACATGCCCACAGAGCGGGCTCTGAGTGCCCCCTCTGGCACACATGCCATAGTTTTGCCACCATTGCCCTATACCCAAAGTAAACCTTTTTACTTTGTAGTTGTTAAGCAAGCAGTGGTAATTGCTCAAGTT